TCAATTAGTAAATGATGATAGTAATAATAATATGTCATCATTGAATGACTAAATACATGTTTATTATTTTCGTAGAATATTTAGATTTCATGTATTTTTTATATTTTTTTTCTTTTTAATTCTTTTATATTTTTATTTCGATTATTTCAATTAATGTATCAATTTATTCATTACTATTATAAATTTATTAATATATATATCATGTTTTTCAGCTAACATTATATGTATAACTATGTAATATTACATGCATTTTTCAACTAATTATACACATTTTTCAACTAAAGTAATATTGTTATACATGTTTTCCAACTAGCATTAACTGCTGTTGTTTACTATATGCCATTGTTCAACACTTAAATTGAGTTGCATAACGCGTTGTTGAATTGCATCAGTTGATATAAGATTTGTTGCTTAACACATTTTGGCATTGAGCAACACATGACGTTTGTTAATATATTAAACACATGCCAAAACTTACTGATGTGGTAGTCTTATATTCTAGTATTAATAAATATAAAATATTACATATTGTTTTAAAACCATTAATTGTGAAATTAAGAAAGTTAAAAGAAGAAGAATTGAAAGATAATCAGGATGTAATATGGAAGATTATATTATATTTTTCATTAGATTGAAAATTCCTTATGATTTGTTTAAAAATAAATGCAGCAAAAGCAAATATTTTTGCCTATGATATGAGACAATTAGTAAAACTATAGATCAAATTTATAAAAATTATACACTTTATAAGAGTCATATTAAACTTGCACTTTTTGATATAATTCCATTGCAAAATTGGTATTACAGATGTTCTTTAATGACTAATATTAGATGAATTTAAATCTAAAAATACTTGAAGAGAAAATAGAGCAAGAAATATGATAATTGAAAAATGAAATATATAAATGTTAAATTTTATTTTTAGTTTGAAGTAGGATCAACTAATTAGCAATATAATTCTTTAATGAGTAAAGATAAATTATTATATTTCAGTATTTTAATTTAGCCAAACTTTTTTCATATTTTCAAGTGGTTCAAATTTAAAATTAATTGAATAAATTTTATTTACTTTATGAAATAATGAAGAATTTCAAAAATGATATAGACTAGTTTTCTAATAATGCAAATGAATAGTTATATCAATTTCTGAATTCTAATTCTTTTTATCAAAAAAGTAATATAACATCTTATATACTGTATATGTATTGATATATTATATTTCAGAAATGATGCATATTTATCACTATTTTGGTTTAGCAGCATTTTCTTGTTTAGCTATTAAAAAGAAAAACCATCAGCAAGTTTCTCATTTTTTTAAAAAAACTATAAAAGATAGTGGTATTAGAAAAGAAAGAAAATTTGCAATTGTTGATATTTTTGAATATGAAAATAGACTTTTATATTTTAATAATAATGATGAGGTTAATTTAATTCAATTACTAATATAATTGATTTTATTAATTAATGTTTTTATTGTTTTTATTGTATTCATTTTATAAAAAAAACTAATATAAGCGAGAATAAATAAAAAGATTTTTATAAGTTAATGTATCTGAAGTAAAATTAAAAAATAAGAAAAAAGGGAAAGAAAATGAAATAAATAAAATTTTTCCAATACAAAAATGGAGCAACAAATTCAAAGAATAAAAAAGAATGAAGAAAATCATGTGTTATACAATCATTGTAATATATTAAAAAATTAGCACTAATCAAAATATATTTTATTTATAGTAAATTATTAAAGTTTAATAATCCCCAAAAAATTAGGAGACTTTTTTAATCAGCTGATATATACATATTAGATTTGTAAGGATCATAGACTCAAATATTTTGTCACTTTATTTCTTAATATTTTCATTGATTTCTAATAGCAAACAGTATAGTATAATTTTTTTGATATATTATTTGGGATTAAAATCAGGCTAGAATAGTTATATTGAATAGTATAATTCTTAGTATCTAAATGCTAATTTCAAGCCAAATTCAATACTAATATTTTTGATAGCTAGATTTAAGCCAAAACGCATAGGAGACTTGAATTCAATAATTAATTCATATAGCTAAAATTAATTTGTAGGTGATCAAGGAACTTTTTGTATACTATTTGGAATTTTAACCTTAGAAGTCTTATTTTAGCTCTATTATAGGAGAAATTAGATTAAATTATAAGTTGTTATAAGTAAAGTTGATGGTATTTGTGATAAAGTCCTTTAGCTTTTTATAATATTCTTAAAGATATAACTTATGTAAAATATTGGATTCCATTAGATGTTTTTAAGCTAACTATAAAATATTAGCTGATTATTAACATTGAAGGTATTGATTTTATGAGTTAAGATTAAAGAGATATTATCAAATATTAAGTCATATTTTTCAAATAAAATTTCTTTATAAATATTTTGTATATCAATAATCCTATCAAGTTAGCAGTTATTGATCTTATTTTTTAGATTTATTAGATTTATTTTATTTAAAAGATATCTGAAATTTGCATTTTGTCTCACTTCTAACTAAAATTCTTCAGATTTCTTATCAAATAGATTTTCTTTAATATAAAAACCTATTAAAGATTAACTATTTAAATTATTTCTAAAGAGATGATATTTATATTGTTTATTTTCAAAAGAATGATACATTATCATTCTGAAATTATGATATATAACTTTTTTAGAATAATATATCATTATTCTGAAAAAATATTTTTTTTATTATTCTTTTGGATAATATATCATTATTCTAAAAGAATGACTATTTTTTTATTATTCTATAACAATACATTATCATTCTAAAAAAATAATGTTTTTTTATTAATATTTTAGAATAATAATACATCATTATTCTAAAAGAACAATTATCTTTTTATCATTTTTTCATAATAATACATTATCATTCTAAAAGTATAATGTTTTTTTATTATTTTTTTGAAATAATACATCATCATTTCAAAAGAATAATAATTTTTTATCATTCTTTCAAAATAATATATCATCATTCTGAAAGAATGATTCTTTTTATTGTTCTATTAGAATAAAAGCAATAACATATATTAGCTAATATTTTAAGAGGTGGAGGTCATGTGAGATCTTAGGTTACACATAAATTATAAATCACATAATAAGAGTAGCTTAGCATATTTAACATAAAGTCTTCATAACCTCAACAATAATTGTAACTATAGGATATAATTAGATATGATCATCTTATTTAATGAAAATTTATTTCGAATATATGAAATAAGTTATTTGAACATTTTAAATATTTTATTTGAAATAAATTTTAATTTAAGAATTACAAATCAAAATATTTTATAATGTTTTTTTTAGTTTTTTTAATTTACTCAACTTCGAAACTTATGAATCTAAAAAGCAAATAATCAGTAACACGTAATATTTTACCCGAGAGTGGAGTATATACACTTATATTAAATATATTAGCTAATATAAGTTAGTGTTCTAATATATAATCATTTTTTAAAATGATTTTCTATATCATTTTTAAGGAATAATCAAACTATTATTTTTCATTTTTTTCGAAGGATTTTATTATTATTTCAATTAAATGATATAAAATTATCTATTTAGAAGAATCATTATTAGATAAATTTCAAATTAATTAGAATTTTAGTTCAATTTATAATATAAAACTAATAAATTTTTTAGATTTTCTGAAAAAAATTTTTATTTTTTTTATTTTTCTCTTTTTTAAAGTAAAAGGTGATTTTTAATAGATATTTTTTATTTTTTTCCTTTTTTATTTCTTGTTTTTTAAGAAAGTTCTCATTTTGAATTGATAATAATTTTTATGTGGATTTTTTTAATTTTTTCTTTACTTTTTTTTTAGAAAAATTCTTATTTTGGAAATGATTATTTGGGTATTTTTCTTTATTTTTTTCTTGTTTTTTTTAGAAAATTTTATTTAAAATTAAGGTCATGTTAACATGTAATTCTTATGAATTATAATTGTTAGATAAGGTATTTGAATGTTGATTCTTTTTAATTGCATAGTAATCTTAACATTTTACAAGTTTATTTAATGATAATTTCTAAAGAGATATTTTATGTCAATTCCCAATTTACCAAATAATTATAATATAAAATAATATGTTTATTCATGAGTTAAGAATATAGAAAATAAAAAAGATGACAAGAAAAAAAAATAAAATAAATAAACAAAGAGGTTTGCTATTCATCACTACTGGTGCTCAACACTGGTATCATGTGATCTCATGTATCATGTGACTTTTAGTAATGCCAGCGCAATTTATAATAAAGGGTCAAAAGTGATTAACCAAAGCTTTATTTATGAAACTCACATAATACATTTGAGTTCGAAAGTTAATTATATTAATCACTTTACTCATCCTAAATGAAACTAAGTATGCGTAACTATTTTGTGTGCTTGTTTTCTTTATTGTTAGTTAAATTAGCCTTATATTTTGAACATCCTCAGATATTATGACCTTTTCAGAGCAATAACTACATGTTTTCTGTACTGTTACATCACCTGATTTGCTTGATGTAACACAATTAACTTCTACCGCCGATTTATACCGCTTTAGAGATCGTTCTTTTGGTTTGTGATATTCAGGATTTGATACTTCAGGAAGAACTGATAAAGGTTGATGATCATCTTGTATAAAAGGTTCTTGCAAAATAATATTGTTAGGAGTGTTGATATTTAAACCTGTACTTCTACGATATTTTATGATAAACTGCGTCAAAATTCTAATTAATTCGGATGTAATATCTTCCATAATGGCAATTTGTATGCTCATTTTAACTATAGACATTGCGGTCCCATATTTAAGTTTTTTGCTCACTTGTCCTCTAATCATAGGAGTATATACATTTTCAGTTCTCAAATTATTCATATAACTTAGAGGTATTGCTATATGCCTTATTTCTCCATTTACAATCATAATAAAACTTGTTGAATCTGATAGATTCGAATTAAACCAACGTGTGTGAAACAATGAAATATGAATTATTACTTTTTTTGACTCAATAAGTATTCTTAATTGATGACAACATATCATTTCTTGATTTACAATAAACATACAAGTATATAGTAAAGTAGAGTCTTCGAGTATAACAACATAATATGATTTGCAATTTTTCGATCCAATATATGATACTTCCCAAAGTCAGTAATATCATTGTAAGATATACCATTAAGGAGATTCCGTAAATGAATTTGTGGTACATCATATGATCTTTCTAATATACCACTAACATTACTGTCATCTTCAACCTGATTAATTGAAATTAAATTAACTC